TATCTAATATTTATGATTTATTAATATGGCGTTTTTCCTTAAGTATTACTTCATTTCTTTTCTTTCTGCATGTCAAAGCATACTTATTAAAAATTATTTCAAATTCTGCAGTTGTTTGGCAGAAACGTTCCGCATGTGCTTTTCAAAAAGCTCTTCATTCTTTGTTTTGAGGAATATACACTCAAGAGCCAAAATATTATGACCACCTGTCAATAACGAGTTGGGCCACCTTTGGCGCGCAACACAGCTTCAACCCGCCTTGGCATGGATGCCACAAATCCTTGATAGATGGCCGGAGACAGATTGTACCAGATGTTGTAGCAACGGTCACACAAATCCGAGATATTGCGAATTGGTGGTCTTTGACCTCTGAGCTGCCGTCCTATGACATCCCAAATGTGTTCTATCGGATTTAGATCCGGTGAGTTAGGTGGCCAGGACATTAACTGGAAATCAGCATCATGTTCCTGGAACCACTCCAACACAATTGTAGCCTAGTGACACGGGGCGTTGTCCTGTTGGAACATTCCATTTCCAGCTGGGAAAACAGAGGCCATGTATGGGTGCAACTGGTCCGCAATGATGTTCAGATACCCTGTAGCATTCATGGTCTGCTCTACCACAACCACGGGTCCCAGTGACGCCCAAGAGAACGTCCCCCAGAGCATAATACCGCCACCACCGGCCTGTGTATGACCTACTGTGCATTGAGGGAGCAACTGTTCACCTGGAAGACGGCGTATCCTGACACGGCCATCGGCGTGATGAATGACAAACTGTGATTTATCTGACCACGCAACTCTCTTTCACTGATCCATGGACCAGTCGCGATGTTCCCGGGCCCAGCGCAGTCGCAGTTGGCGATGACGCTTGGTCAGCAAAGGCACACGAATGGGACGTTTGCTGCGGAGCCCCATATCCAACAGTGTCCGCTGAACAGTGTGCTACGATACTTTTCTACTTGGTCCTGCATTGTATTCGGCTGTCAGCTGAGCCACTGTCTGGCACCGGTTTTGCTTCACAATGCGAAAGAGTCTCCGATGACCTTTTTCTTTTATAGGGTGTGCACGTCCAACACCATGTCGTCGACTGCTGGTTTCACCGTCATTCATCCACTTTTCATAGGTACTAACAACTGTAGATCGCGAACAACCCACGAGTCGTGCAGTTTTAGAAATACTTGCTCTGAGCCTTCGAGCCATTACAATCTGCCCTCTATCAAAGTCGCTTAGATCCGCAGCCTTTCCCATCACACAGAGAAGGAAGTGAAAGAATGTTTCTTCAGACTCTCCAGCAGCAGTTAAATACCACTTCCACCTGATCACGTGCCTTGCACGTCATCCAGGCGCGTTCATCGCAAAATGTAGGGCTGGTCATAATATTTTGGCTATTGAGTGTACATTCCATGAACATGATCCGGAAACCTCAAGCATTTACTCACTTTTTAGAATGTGTGTATTTATATGGTATGTACAGGAAGAATATATTTCTTTTCATGCCAATATGCACACAAATTTGTTCCCTGACACCTCCAAAACGTCAAAAAAATGTTTTGTAGGAGGACAAACATACTAAAAATTCTTATATTTAAATATTAATAGTTTCATCCAACAGTAATATTAAAAAAATTTTAATTTGCGCCTATAAAAGAAGTATTTAAAATCTAATTAAACGAAAGTATCATAATGTAATTTTTATTTGAAATGGTTGCTATGGTGAGACTTTTTCCAAAAAAGGAAACTTTATCAGAATGTTAGTTTCATGGATGAATTTAAAAATATGTTTAGGTCCTCGGAAAGTGTAAATAATTGTTAATATTTCATTTAATAAAACTGTTTCATTAGTATTTAAACAGCTTTTTTCTCAGTCATCTTTATTTGGTGACTATAAAAAATTGGTGACCGGCTGAACACAAAAGACACCGAAAATAGATGAAACTGAAGATTTAGCAAATGCATCGCCTGAACTTATAAAGTCAGATTAAAATTCCTCCTTTTTGGATCTATAAACATGAAATCTGTTTTTTTTTTTTTTTCAAGTTGAAGCATAATTCAGAATATCGGGAATAAAAGCTAAAAAAACTAAGTTTGATTAGACTAGAAGAGAAACACGCTAATGTGACAATCAAAATCGTAAAAACAACCTTGTATTTAGCGTAATTATATTGAAACACTCAATCGATTTCGAGGGCAGCTAAAGGTCCCTCCTCATTAGAAGAAAGAAATACATAGAAAGAAGAAAAATAAAGGGGAAGAAGTCTCAGAAACACGTGGTCCTTATCAGCACTGCACGTGGTTATAACCGGATTTTTAATCAGAGTTACACTGGCCGCCTACTTTTACTGAGCCAGGCTATCTGATCAAACATGTAACACAAAGGAGAAGAAAAATTAGCGAAGTTAAAATTAGGGAGCGAGGGGCAACTGCTCCTTCACGCTCAAAATCTGAACTTCGAATAATGAATGCATTATTTTTCTTCTATGTATTTCTATGTATAAATTCTATGTATTTCTTTCATCTGATGAGGAGGGACCTTTAGCTGCCCTCGAAATCGATTGAGTGTTTCAATATAATTACACTAAATACAAGGTTGTTTTTACGATTTTGATTAAGTTTGATTATTTGGTTTCACAATTGGAGCCTAAATACGTAGCAAACAAATGAGACACTGTCAATAGCGATAGCGAAAACAAGTTTAGGTGCTAAAAATTGACTTTGAAATCTGTGTAAGAAAAGTGAAAATGTCCGAATAAAAAAATTAGTTACCGGCAGTGAGTTGAAACACGTGAAAGCATGCCAACTATTGTGAAAATTAAGATCACTTGTTACAACTAACGCTCAGAAAATCCGATTGAAATCTTTTGGCCCGACAAATTACCAGAAACAATGGAAAACTTACTGTTAGAATGCGAAGAAGATATTTCAAAACTTGCTATAATGGCAGACAAAATCAACGATATGACTCTACATACAGAAATAAACTGAAGAGCCAAAAAGTTATGACCATCAACTCAAAAAAACGTTACGCGACCTTTGGTCTGCAAAACAGCTGCAACTCGCCTTGGTATGGATGCCACAAGTTCTTGGTTGATGAGTGGTGACAGGTTGTACCAAATGTCTAAGCAGCAGTCACGCAAAGTCGAGATATTCCGACATGGTGGTGTTTGAGCTCTGAGATGCCGCTTCGTAACATCCCAAATGTCCTTTATCGGGTTACGATACGCCGATTTAGGTGGCCAGGACATTAATTGGTATTCATCCTTATGCTCCTCGAACCACTCCAACACATTTCGAGTCTAAGACATGGGGCATTGTCCTACTCGAAGATTAAATTTCCAATTGGGAAGACAGACGCCATGTAAGGGTGCAAGTGATTCGCAATTATGTTCAGACAGTCCGCAGCTTTCATGGTCTATTCTACACAACTAAGGGTCCCTCAGCCGCCCATGAGAACGTCCCCCAAACCATAACACAGCAGGAGCAACTATTCGCCTGAAAGACGGTGTACCCTAACACGAACATCGACGTGATAAATGAGAAATCGTGATTCATCCGACCACGCAACTGTCTTCCACTTATCCATAATCCGTTGCCGATGTTCCCGGGACCATTGCAGGCGTAGATGACAAAGACGCTTGGTCAACAGAGGCACACGAGTGGGACGTCTGCTGCACAATCCTATATCCAACATTATCCGCTAAACTGTGTTCCGAAACACTAGCACTTCCGGACGTTTTTCTGAATACTAAAGTTTAAAGATTACACACACAACTTTATAAATCCACAGTGAATGAGGATTTGATATTGCGTCTTTACAGCTGATAATTTAAAAGGAAACTCAAAAACCATACTGTCCAAAGCATTTAGAAAGGAGAGAGCTAAGTATAAAGATGAACTCACAAATAAAAGGAAAAAAATGCTCCGAATTTTAAGTCTGCCGTTCATCCTTGAACTCAGCCCTTTCCTTGCTAAATTCATCAAACAGTATGGCTTACCTGTTTACGTTAAATCTGTCTGCAAAATCAAGTTCTCAATTATAAAAGGCGAATCACCATACCTTCGTTCATAGGGCATTTACAAAATTTCTCATGAACATGTTCTGTTTTTAGAAGACAATCCTGGAGATCTTTAGAGATCAAAGTAAAGGAACATATCTGGTATGTTACACAGAAGAAAGTGAAAGATCTTCAGTGCATACTATTGTTAAGGAAAAAACCACAGCTTTTATCTTTTGAAGACAAAAATTATATAATATGTAAGGTTCTTCCTACTGTAGTCTTCAATATTTTGTTTAAATTGTTTGCTTATTTGCTCTAACTTTTACACAGAATCTTTTCATTTTCTTTATATTAAACTGCACAATTTCCGTTCCCTCAATTTGGATTTCTTAGAAGTTTTTCCTTTTTCGTTTTTTTATGCATAAGGACATCATTAGTAACTTAGATTCCACGCCACTCCAGTAGGAGGCGTGAAAAGAGGTGTCCCATGCTCCAACTTTGTTTAAGTAATACAATTGCTGCATGGGGCACTAGTAATTCGATCGCATTCTCATGTTAACAACGCTCTGTGATAAAGTTGGACTAAACTCCAATGAAACTGCAATCAGCTATCATCTTTTATTTATTACTTATTTTCGCTAAATTTTACATTGAGCCTTTTTTTTTTTTTCCCATAAACATATTTTTAAGCACACAGTCTTATTTTCGTTTTAATCCAAAGGAAGTTTTTACTACTTAAAAACACATAGGTTTTTTTTCCTCTCTGTAATCAGTAATAATTAAAAAATTGGTTTTACTTGTTTTTCAATAATTTTCACGTTGTACTTCTTCGTTTGTTTATTATTAAACTGCACAATGTTACTCTCTTCAAGGATACAGTCTTTTCATATTAAAATTAAAATTTGTTCTATAAATATAATCAAAGGTCCTTAGAAATTAAATTTACAACCCTTCGGATTTAGTTCAGGGGAATTACTGATAATAAGGAATAATAAAATCTTACATGATGTATACCGAAGCCAGATGGATAACAATGCTTCCAAGTTCCAATTCCACATAATCCCACAACATATGGGCTATCCCCATGATATGAATTTCTGTAAAGATTTTTAATACACTATATGAAATCAACAATTCCATTATCTTTTTAAATATATACTAAATATGGTTATTACTTAATTAATATTTATGCTCAAGCCTTTCAATTAAGTATTGTAGTTCCAAAGATGCAATATCTGTTAATAGGAAGACGGCTATTAACTGTCAATTCAAAATTTTTGCAGCAACTCTAGCAACAAATTGAAGAAGTTAGAACTTTTTTTTCCAGACAGAAGCAAAGCATATGAAAATTTTCAGTTACAAAACCAACGAGGTTCTCTCTTTGATATGGGAACATGCAATTTGTATGTGCACACAAATGATAAAAAGTAAGGTGAATAAAAGATTATACAGTCTTATTTAGGAATGAAATATTGTGAAAGAAATGGTAGCAATTATGAGTCAAAAAATAAATACGTTTAAAAGCTAATTATGTTTTATTTACAATTAACTCATTTGCAATAAATAAATATTCCATACAAATTTATGCCGACTAACCTGAAAGGTTAAAAAAAAAAAGAGAAAAAATGCATAGAGTTGAGAATGTGATGACAAAACATTTCTTCTTTTTTAAATCAAGACCAAATAAGATGGGGAGAAAAAAGAAAGAATGAATATACGATGTGGCCATGCAGTTCCATGAGATCACTGCATGATATGCATATCCACAACACTAGTGGAGCTTACAAACTGTCATATCATAGATTTCTTGCCCTTTCTTTAGGATACACTTTAGGGTTAAATAAAATATCTACGCTACCATCACCTTTAACTTGTCACATTTCTGATTGTCTGTGCTTAAGTTATGTGCTACCCATACATCTTTCCATTCTAAACCCAATATATACTATTAAAATTTTACATTTGAATATTTTCTCTTACTTTACTGCATTTCTTGGATAGGAATTTCATTATGCATTAGCGTCCGGAGATGTTGCAAGGGTTCTGAACTGATAATGAACATTTGTTTTCAAATAAATATTTGTGTCGTTGCTACCTCAAAACTTTTCAATAGAAAATTAAAGGGTGTGGAGTTTCCTTTAGTTCACTAGCCAGTTATTTTAGTTTTGGTATCTTTTCTGAATTCTCTACTTCTCACATTTCCTCGCCAGGATGCAAATTAAACGGGTGAAAGAGAGTATTTAAACGAGTGAAAAGAATAGTTTAGACAGAGCGTGATTTCGCTAGTGCAAAGCATATTTGCTATTTTTGTCCACTCAGCTGGTTAACATAGTAGTGGCTACGCATTCTGGCCATTTAGCTAGTCTATCGCCGGTGTAGGCTGCTGAGTCAGCCTGTTAGGTTAATCTAAATTGTGAAGTCTAGCACTACTTCTTATCTTTCAAATCTATAGTTAATTCACCTTTAAGTTCTCATTGCAAGTATTCGATGTTTTTGTGAGCACAAAGTCCGTGCCTTTCTGTTAAGCAGTTGTGATAAACAAAAAGGGCCTTTTTTACAACATTTATCTGTTTTGTTAAATAAATTCATGACAGGGAAGCAATGAAGTTGACAATAAGTACTCTTTTACCGATGTGCGGCCCACCAGAGGCCAAGTGGTAAAGTCACTGAACACTGGTAGTTCAGTCCGAAGTTTGAATCCCGCGAACGAGCTGGCTGCATGGGCATTTTTGGGGTTCCTCCCATGTGTAACGTGTATACGAGTCAGTCCTCCACGAAGACATCCCTTCCTTAGGCAGATAGCCCTTGATGCTCTGCCGTAATCACACAAACCAAACCAAATTTTTAACGACGTGAAACTCTTAACCACAAAAAATCAACAGTTTTGAGTTTGCAGTTTCTCCTTAAATCCGAGGGAAAATATTCACATCCGCTCAAAAATATGCGGTGAAAAATGGTCTAACTTGTTCTTTCATATCTGAGAAGCATATAAATGTATGGACATTCTTTTTGCTTAAGAAAGCATAATAACTATTTTAGTTAAATGGGTATTTTGCTCAATGGAAATCATATAAAATGTTAAACTATGTATTTACAAAACCCTTCTATGCTCAGTGTTGGCACTGTTTTCATAAAATTCCCTACTTCCCTTTGAGAAACTGCATAATTGGTGTTCCAGCAAATAATCAACATTTAAATAAATAATGATTTGTAACTACCTTTCTCAAACACCTTGTATAAATGTTAATGATGTTCACTTTGGTTACAAAATAACGAAGATTCGAAAGGAAATAAAAGAATGCCATAGAAAAGAAATACACAGTGCTTTTGTTGAATCACAAGACTTGAACATCCATCTACAGGAACAGTTAATACTTTTATGTTATAGTAGAGTAGTTTCCAGTATTTCTTATCCAATATCATTTCTTAAAACTTGCAATAATGTCAGAGACATTTTACTTAAACACATAATTACTAATAAAAAATATCATGTTCACTGAATGATAGAGAGGTCCTGAATACTGCTTAGTTCTAAAAAGCTTAGAACACAAGTTTCAGCAGGATTCATTTCATTCTAATTCCTCATAACCCTGTTTTTATGAAAACGAGGATACGCATGCAGGCCCTCGAAACACAGTGTTTAAAGACCCAGATTGATTTAATTAAGCAACAGTATACAATGTGACATTTTAATTGTTGCTTAAACAGTGACCTTAATTTTCCCTTTTGCAGTTAGAACCTGATTCTTTTTTTTTCGGGTGGGGGGACATTTAAAACCCATATAAAACTAGCTATTATTCAAGCAAACCTAATATGTACACTTATCATGGTGTTGAAGATTTTAATTTTGGGACCTATTATAGGGTGGGGCAAATATAAGTGGCCGCCCCACCTTGTATAATCACAGTTTCCCCTCCCAGAAACTGTGTCAACTAAGGATGCTTGGGAATAAATTTTCTGTGTTTCTACCTCATGGAGTTTCCTTTTGAGAAGAATACCCGAGAAGTAAGATGAGAAATTAGAACTTGATTCCCAATATTACTCTCCAGTTTACTTTGTTTGAAAATGTAACGGGGTGGGAGCACTGAATGTAAATAATGTCAAATTAGGAAGTAAAAAGAAAAAGATCGATGTAGGCTTTATATGAAACACTATAAATTTTCAGAGATTGCCATAAAATTAAAATAAAATAAAATAAAATAAATTACATCAGAAATAACTATTAAAGGATACCAGAAATTATCACAAAGCTAAGAGGAGTACCAAGATAATCTCACTGCTTTGCCTATTATTTAATTTGAAGCAACCAATTTAATGCTTTTACAGCACAATTACAAACATTTCATTGCATCAGATTGTTGTAAAAATAGCATACCTCTATCTGCTGAATAAATAAAAAATTCTCATTACATAAAATCCAAACAAATTGCTTCATTTCGAACTCTGCATTGGAATTCTTTCAATTTTGATTTCATATGTGATTGTGGTCCATTATTTCATATGTATTATGGACTAAGGGCCAAATGAAAATGACATACCTGTTCAATCTACTCCACTCATTAGCTCCCAGTGCTGGGCAGGTATGACAGTACATTAAGACAAAATTACAACCATTTGCTTTTCAATTTTACACTGATTCTAGAAGGCATAACAGGTGTCCTTCATATATACACTGCTCTACTGATTATTTTAATGCCCTAGCATGCTTTATTTATTAGGGAAATTTCACACTGATTTTCTATTTCCTTCACAGCACTGAAATTTAATGACCAGCACTGCAAGTTTTGTCTACACGACTAGAAAATTTATTCATTTATTTTCAAAACACCAATTTGAATAACTTAAAGAAAAAAAAAAGAAAAGAAAAAAAGGCAAAAATTTAAATTAATTAGAAATACAACAGTATTTTTAACCATGTTCTAAAGACTTTGGAAATAAAATTGGAATGAAGAAAAAAAATCTCCTACATTTAAAAGACAATGTATAACATTTGTTCTAGTAGTTTCTTATTCTACCTATACATGTAAAATACATAAAGAAACCTAATAAATGGATGGACCTATCAACTACAAGATTTGATTAGTTTTGACATTCATTCACGCTGAAAGTTGAAATTCTCCATAGACAATGTAACATTTAAAAAATGCAAAAATAATAATGCTATGAGTAAATGGTTGAGATATTTCAAGAGAGATGAATAGGTGTGGTGAGAAAAATTGAGCAAGACGTCAGTGCAGATTTGATGATTTTCCTTAAAACTCTAAAATATGTTTTTTCCTTTCCCCTCCTTGTTTGTTTTACTAGAAGTGAAGTTTGCTTCAAGTAAAAAGACAGAATGCTTAGCGACATCTACTCGATGCTGATGATGTAAGAATAATCCCATATAGCACACATAGTTGCTGTGACATTACAGTAAGGTCCCAATGTTACATTCTCATCACATTTGTGACCACGATACATCAAAGAGATGTCACATCGTGATGTGGATGCGAATACACGTCACAGAAAACATTTAATGTGACAACACGAAATTTCTCAGTCTTCCCCACCATGACCTTTCTTGATTTTGCTCATGTAATTCTTCTTTAATCGGAAGTATTCTTGTGTGCTGACCCCGTCTTCCTGATTCGTTGTTAAATGTTTCAATAAACCTTTTGATATAAATTATTTTTATGCTATCAGCTAGCAATTTTAGTTAGTTCTTTTTTATCTAATCGCTGGAATTTAAGTGTTTTACACTCTTAGACAAAAAAGAAAAAAAAAAGAAAAGAAAAGAAAGAAAAAAAAAAAAAAAAAACGACGCACCAAGAAGGAGTTATCCGAATGGGACGAAAATCGGTAGAAGTGATGTATATGTACAGAAAACCAAATTTGTTTGGTACAGAAAACCAAAACGTTTGAGGAAAATTGGATGATTTATTGAAGTGATAGAGCTTCACAAAGTGAAAAGGTCAGTAACGCGTTTGTCCACCTCTGGCCCCTATGCAAGCAGTTATTCGGCTTGGCATCGATTGATAGAGGTTGCGGATGTCCTCATGAGGGATATCGTGCCAAATTCTGTCCAACTGGCGCTTAGATCGTCAACATCCCGAGCTGG